CCCAGCTATAGGTCTAGGGAGAACCCAGGGTTAACAGTTGGTACCCAAGCCAGCAACACACTCGAGCAGTCAGCTCCTGTGATTCTGCAGGAAGGTGCACAAATAACACTGGTCTGCAGTGGACTTTTGTTCTTGGACTGTCTCGAAGCAGAGCCACACCTCATCGTTTATGACAACTGCAGACAGTGAAGTTTGCATCCCAGAAGATTTCACACTGTTCAACACTGATTTTCAAATTTCAAAGCTAGCGTCCATCTCTGGCTCCTACTTGGAAAAAAAATTGGATTTATAAAGACATTAAAATACAGGTGCTAGCCTTTATGGCTACTTTAGTAAACCTAGTTCCAAGAGAGCAGGCAGATGAATTCAGCAGCACTTCATATAAGAATGAAATCTTTCTTCTGCCCTTTCTCTGGGTCCTGGAAAAACATTTCCTTGGCCGAGGGAGACCAGCTGCACGTTCTTTAGGGCTTGGGCAGCTCCAACGTTCTGGGTAAGGCTGCACCCTCTCATCCCCTTCCCAATTATCACACATCCACTGCCTTATGATTGCTCTAGAAATAGACTTTGGATTAGCTGAAGATCAGCACTGAATAAGGTCAGCACTGCTCAAGTTAACTTGAATATGTGCTTACCCCACCTGGCATTAAATCAGCACGCAGGCCCCTGCCTTCCAGAGCTGACCCAGACATCCCCCATCCAGGCTGCCTGCTCTGCAGCAGCTCTTTCTCACCTTCCCATCTTATCTTCCCAAGGAAAGAGGTATGCATCCTTAATCTAAGCAGATCCAAGTTTTCCCATTTAAGGTTATCAAGTCAGATGGAAAACCTATACTGATTATAAAGAATCTTTCATAAGAACTGTGTGAAATGAAGCATTTTGTATATTGCTTAGCTGCTATGTTGTCATATGCAGGAGAGTAAGAACACCCCAGGAAAAGCATTCAGATCCACTAAATGGCATTTAATCCCAAGTAACAGTGACACAGGCTAGGGACCACTGTTATCACATCACATAAGATTAAAAAAACCTGTTTCCCAAACAAGTTATTTCATGCAGCGATTCTTAACACTGTCTTTGTCCAAGTCTCTAAGTGTCAATGTATTGAAAACAGTTTTCTTCACGTTCTACAATTCCAACAGCTGGTGAATTCAGAGATGCAAGTGAACTCTGCTTTCAATGATCAGCACACACATCAGTACTTTCCAGCAACACATTTATACTCCTGGGAGGTGTAATACTCTGGCAGGTTTTGTTTTCAGCAGTATAAAACAGGGCTGGATTTCATGTTCCCATAGCCATCAGTGTAATTCCATACAGCTGCAGTTTTCCAGTGTTCAACAGTGGCTAAGAATTAGAGCCATGGCCAAGCATGTACTGGTTACCTGCAACAGACTGCCTGCTGCTCGTAGCCCCAAACCTCCTGAGCCATTCCAGCCTGCCCTGAAACGGCACGCCTCTAAGAATGCTGCACGTTTTGGATGCATTTTAAATTATCCCAGTGAACAAAGCTCACTTTTGTAATGATTTTGCTATACAGTTGACCTGTCTAATACATTTATGGGTTTCTTACACATTTCAAAACCATCAAAATGAAAAGACAAGTACTTAAAAGTGCACTGAACTCACAAAGGCACCCAGCAAAGATTTTCTGGCTGCAACAGCTTTCCATTGTGTAGAGATTCAGTTTCCACAAGGTTTCTAGTGCTGTTCCAAGTACTGAAATTCATAGCAGAGTACCAACTACACCGGAGAGAGAGTCATCTTCCAAGCTTGTTGAATGCTGTCTTTGCTGACAGACCTGCATAGTTTCTGGTTGCTTCATTTGTCTCCAAAGACACAGCAGATGTGGAGTGCTTCATTTGAACTGGTTATCAATCAGTGTTCCTTTCATCTTGGCTTTCTTGGCTTCCAACTCAGCCTAAGAAAATTATGACATGATATCTCAGAACATTTCCTTTCAGTGCTCCAGTGAGTTGTGTCTTTCTTATCCTAACATCACAAGCTTCTCACACCAGAAACAAGAGTAACTCAGTTCTTCACTGACTCCCTCCTCCCCTACAGTACAAGGGGACTGCCTTTAAAGTCATGAGATGTCCAAGTCTAACTGCACAGGTGACCATTTCATAGAATCACAGACTGGTTTGGCTTTGAAGGAACCTTTAAGATCATCTGTTTCCAACCCCCTGCTATAGGCAGGGACACCCCCCGTGACAGCAGGCTGCTCACAGCCCCATCCAGCCTGGCCTTGAATGCTTCCAGGGATGGGGCATCCACAGCCTCTGGGCAACCTGTTCCAGTGTCTCACTACTCTCATAGTAAAGAACTTCCTAATATCTAGTCTAAATCACACTCTTCCAGTTTAAAACCACTTTCCCTTGCCCTGCTTATAAGAAGTCCCTCCCCAGCTGTCCTGTAGGCCCCCATCCTGAGATGGAAGCTGCACGCTTTTCTCCCCTCCATCTACTACTCTCCTGCCACAGCAGGTAAGATCAGCTGTGATGTTCTTGCTGCTAATTCTTCAGGACACTTTTGTGCTGGTAGCTGTTGGCCTGCCCTGACACCTCAAGGTAAGGACCTGCTCTGTCCAGCATGCTTGGCAGCACAGCATTAGAGATGTGCCGACTGGCTGAGCCTCAGCATGGTCCCCCCAGTCTGTGTTCCCTGAACAACAGGCTGTGCAAATCTCCCTGCAAAAGCTCTCCTGTCTGCTCTTCAGTTAGTTCTGTAGGTAACTGTACAATTTTACATTCAATAAATCTGGAACATCTCTATTCATCCTGTAAAGAAAAAAGAAGTCTTCCCAAAGCTGCTCCTTACCCATGACCTTACCAGGACTTCTCTACATTCAGACGTGCAAATAGCTCCTGTATGCAAAGTTAACAGTTCTAATGGACTTGTGTTCATCACTAAAAACAAACCACTCACCAACTCCTGTAGCCTTCTTTTGCTCATTCCTTTGCGTTCCAGCTGTTTCTCAATCACTTTTGCATTCTGTGCATAGGAATCTGCAATCTCCCTCTGAAACACAAACAGCATCGCTTTGCAATAGCAAACCCTGAACATCAACACCTCATCCAAACAGTGAGATGCCAGCTCTGAGCATTGGCACGACTGCCACCAAGGGCAGACAAAACTCACTGCTTCGATCTCCTCCTCTTCTTCATCGATTGTGGAAACAGTAACAGAGCTGAACTTGCCCATGTCTTTGGTCCGTTTGGTCATCATCACCTAGATAAGAAGCAAAGCATTTTGTTAAAACTTGGGAAAAGTCTTGAGATTATGGGTTATTTCCTCCTCCAAGGCTTTTAAGGTTTCTCATGCAAGTCACTAAGATCACCTGAACTCAGCTGGTGGCAAAGAAACACCCTCAACAGCTTCTGGAATTAGCGATGTGATTATCAGAATCAAACTCACTGACACTTCAGGCCAAATTTTGAGAACTGCCACACCTATTACTGATCTGACCTATTCACAAATGGAGGCTTTCAGGTGACTAAGCTTCGAAATAAGGCAAAGTCCACATTTCCAAATTTCTTTTGCTTTCTTTGTGCTGAGACTTCCAGATGCAGCAACCTCTGCAGTACTAAACTCAAGGCAAAGAAGGAGAAGACCCAGAACTGAGTTACGGTTCGCAGGTCCATTTCTTTCTTCTTTCTTCCTTAATATGTGATTTCACTCACAGCATGTTGAAAAGGGGAGACAGCCCTTTCACTTCTAGAGCAGATTACCTTTTTGGGAGGTTCTTGCTTCTGAGTATATATGTTGGTTTTCCCAAAGCCCTGTCCAAACTTGACCACAGCACCATCGACAATGAAAGTCACCGGCGCATTCTTCTGTTGGTGCTGGTAGAAAAGCAGTAATCCACACCTGGAAATAAAAGCCCATCCTGCCGTGAGCAACCCCGGGTTCTAGGCTCTTGTAGTCAGCAGACCAGCTAACAGTTACCAACGGAAACCACTCACTCACTTGCCACACTTCTTCCTGAACTGCCGCTCTATGCCTTCGGGCCTGCGGGAGAGACAGGAGACGTCACGGCCACGCCGAGCCACCCCGGCGGGTCCCCCCGTGCCCGGCCGCTCCGCGCCAACCTGCGCAGGAAGACGGTCTCCTCCTCCTCGGCGTTGCAGAACTTGTGCGCGTGCTTGGCGGCGTCGATCACCCGGGCGCGGTCCCGCGGCCGCATGGGCAGCTTCTCCAGCTGGCAGTCTGCGGGCAGGAGACCACCAGGATAGCGGCACCGCCCCGCGCACCTCCCCCGGCCCCGCCCGCCGCCCCCGGCCGCCCCGCTCACCCAGCACCAGCACCATCTGCCCGCACAGGCAGTAGTAGACGTGCAGCGGTTTCTCGCCATCGTCGTACTCCTCGCGGTCGCGGGTGTCGGAGCAGACGACGGAGCGCGACACCACCTTCGGCATGGCGACGGCGGGGGACGGGGAGCTCTGAGGCCAGCGCGCAGGCGCAGTCTACGCGAGACCCCCGGTAGATCCGGCACGGCTTCCGGTAGATCCGGCACGATTTCCGGCAGCTCTGAGCTGTGGCCCGAGTGGGCGGGGCTGCCCACAGTGCGGAGGGAGAGGGGAGCAGGAACGGCGGCACGGACAGGCCGGGCTCTGCTTAGCCCGTCTGCAGATGAAGCGTGAGGGGGAAGCCGAGGAAGATGGGCCGCACCTAACACCCCCACCGGCAGAGACAGAAGCTGTTTGCTCTTGAGCTCCGTTACACACGCAGCGCAGGCCGTTTCCCCAAGAGCCGCCGTGCTCACGCAGATCGGGCGCACAGCCCCGCCTCGAAGCGCCCCCGCCGGGCCCGCCCGCGTTCCCGCCTCACGGCCCGGCCCACCAGCGCCGCCGCTGGGGAAGGCGGTTCCATCTTCCCCGTGACGTCACGGGCTCTGCCGTCCCCCCCGCCCGCCGCTGCTGTTGGTACGACCCGGCGCCTCGGGCCCCGCCCCCCGCCCTCCTCCCGCGGTGGGAGCGGCCGGGCCGGCAGCACGGCGGTATCCGGCTCCGCCTCCCCCCCTCCCGCGGCTGTTGGTACGTGCCGGGATCGCCCGGCAGCAGGCGCAGGGATCGGTGCGGCCCGGGGTCTCGCCCCGCCCCCGCCTCAGAGGTAGAGGCCGCAGCCGCTCCCGTTCGCTATCGCCGCCGCCTCGGTCGGAGTTCGCCGCCGTTCCCGGGCGCCCCGTCCTCCCTCCGGCGGTGTATGAGTGATTCGTAACCCCGACTCGCCATGTCCACTCCGGCCCGTAGGCGCCTCATGCGAGACTTCAAGAGGTACCGAGGCCGCCGGCGGAGGGGCAGCGGGGGGGCGAGAGGGTGCGGGGCTCGGGCCGCCGGGCGCGGAGGGGGCCGCACAACATGGCGGCGGGGCAGGGCGCGCTCCGCCGATTGCGTAGCGCCGGGCCGCGCCGCCCGCGGCGGGTTACGCCGTTTGCGCAGCGGCGTCCGGCTCTCCTCCCGGGCTACGCCGAATGCGCAGGGGCGGGTCGGGGGGGCGCCGCGCTGAGCCCGCACTGCTGTGCCCGCAGGCTGCAGGAGGATCCCCCGGCCGGGGTGAGCGGGGCTCCCTCCGAGAACAACATCATGGTGTGGAATGCCGTCATCTTCGGGTGAGTGCCGAGCGGCGGGGGGCGGGCGCGGGGCCGGCCGGGCGCCGCCGTAACGCTGTGCTCTGCTTCTTTCCCCCGCAGGCCCGAGGGAACCCCGTTCGAGGACGGTGAGTGTGGCTGCGGGGTGGAGGGTGGGCGTCACGGCAGCAGGACGGGAGCCGGGGGGGGGCGAGAGCGAGGTTTGAGGGAGTCCAGCACGGCCCAGCGCCCCGGGGTGTGTTCAGGAGGGGACAGCAGTACGTGCAGCACGGCCAAAGCCCGGTGTACGGCTGCTGTCAAAGTGCCATCATTTGAGATACGTTCCTTCTGACGTTTCGGTGCTTTGCCCGTAAGTCCCGTGCGAATGGAATTCTGTGTTGGCATCTGTTCTGTTCAGCTGCAGTCAGTGGTACCCAGAGTTAAAGGTTGAAAGCAGCTTTTAGTTTCTATAGCTGCCTCCACAGACTCTGACCCAGGCCTTCTCTAGGCAGCTTCAGTTTGGCCTCGATGCCTCTTAAGGCCTTACTGATGTTATGAACACTTCAGCATCACTGTGAGACCTTGTTAGATGTGAAATGCTGTCCGAATGAAATCAAGGATACATTTTTTAAGATGCTTCGGGTGCAGTCTGTAATTAATCCTAGATCTCTGTGACTCATGCCAAAAATATAATCAAAACTTCTCAACTCTTACATCGTTCTTGACTAGCTGCTTGTTTATCATTGGGTGAGCATCTGAAAATCCAGATGTTTTCTGTGAGGATTAAATATATTTTAAGTATTTCAGGCCTAAAAACTCCAAAATCTACAGTTAATACTTCTAATTGATTAGTTAAGAATCCTGCTGGAGGAGCTTTTCAGAGCACTACTGTTTGGAGCTTCCGTGTTCCATAACACTGTACATAAAGCTGGTAGACCAAATGCATTCTGTTATCTTTCTTAGAGAATTGTTTGAGCTGGAAGAGACCTTTAAAGGTTATTTAGGCCAACCTCTGTGCAATAGATAGGAAAGCTTAGGGTTGAGGGTTCCCTTAAACTTCACTGAGGGTTGCTTCTGCTGCCTGGCCTCCTGTTGCTCTGCTTCTTCCAGCAATCTGCTGTCTGGCAGAGAGGCTCTCCCTGCAGTGTGGCAAAGCACAGGTTGTTGCTGTGGTCAGTCTCTTCCAGTACAACGTGATTTTAACAGGTAGCATAATGGTTGTTTTCCCATATATTTCCACCTAGTTGCAGAAGGTTGGAGGCTGCTTTAGAGATCTGTGCTGGTTTGATTTTTGTCTGTGCTTGGGTAGCATTGTGCCTTTATCTTGAAAACTTGTGGCACCTTGTTCTTGCAGCAGCCTGAAGTCCACTTGCCTATGCTACTGCTGTCCTTTTGCTTTGGCTGATCTTACAATCTTGGTGGGTGATGAACTGCTGTTTTCTTAGCAGTGTTTTTCACAGTGCACTCTCAGGAAAGCAGATCATGTTTGTCACTGTTTCTCTGGGACGTACTTTATGTTGTGCTAGATAACAAATGCTGGATGGAGCCCAGAGATATGGCACTGCTGGTGCCTGCTCTGCTCTCTCCCTTCAGTGAGAGGACAGGTGGTAGCACAGTTCAGATGCAGTTGAGCTCAGTGTAGTTAAAATTAAGAAGACTTTTATTTATAGTGTGGAGCTGTTATTAGGGCTTGTTTTGTTCGTGCTCTTGTGGATCCAGGGTACACTGGTGCACCTCTGTATTGTTGTTTCTAGTCTCTGTCCCTCCTGGGTAGTGCTGTAAGACTTCAGGTTGTGAAAGTAGGCTGTGAAAAATGTCAGTTGTTGTAGCTTTAATAATTTCAGCATGGTGGGAACTGCTGTTCTTCATCCTTGTTCTGGTGAGTCCCTTTTTCAGTCTCAGCTTCTGAGCTTTCATAGCTTTGCCTGAACTGAAAGCCCTAAGCTCAAATGCATGTTTACGTGCTGTTCAAAATGCTGATAACAACCCTCCCTTCCTTCCACCTCCAGACATTCGAGGTGTCTTCTCAACTGAAGGATGACTTGGCCTGTGAGCAACTGCTAATTTAGATCAGCAGCAAAACTTCCATTTCCTGCTTTGAAAGCATTGAGTTGCAGATGTCTGCAGTAGGACCTCAAGGATGTTTATTTTGCCTTTACCATATTTCTTAGAATCTGTTGTGCTTGTGGCATGTGAACTGCTCATGTTGCCCCTGTGATGGAAACCCAAGCTCCCCCAAGCTCTACAGACCCGTTTCTCTGAAGCTGAATTTTGATGCTGTGGTTAGCGCAGGATTCCTGGCGTGAGGAGAGTTAAGTAATAGCTACTGCAGTATCCTGTCTTCCTGTCATCGTGCAGGCAGCTTGAACAGAGAAAGCAATGCATTTGCCCTCAGTATGGCTTGTCCATTACCAAAGGAATATGGGGTCAGTATCCTCAGGTGGGGGAGGCAGGGCTGTCACTGCGTTATGGGTGCTGATGTGGAGGCTTGGCGGGGCTGTGGGCACTGCGGGGCCAGGCATGGGGCTTGGAGGAGGCTCTGAGCTGAGGCAGGAGAAGCAGATGGACGAGGTAAGCGCAGAACAGACGTGGGAACGTTCTGGGAGCAAGATGATCCCAGCATTTGTAGGATGACAGCGAATACAAAAACCTTTGTTGTAAACTTGGCTGTCAAGAACAGGTTGGAAGGATCGCGAGTTGAAAGCTGTAAGGTTGGTGATGCTGTGGACGATGAGGGACTCGTCCCAGCAATGTGTTGTTGTCACACCCGTCCTATTTGTGTGAGTGACCCCGGGCTGCAGTTCACCGAGTCCTTGGAACTGTCTGCTAACAGAGCTCAGCAGTGAGCATGCTGCAGGACTTCTTTCAAAGAGCCATTGCTGCTTGGGATCCTGACTTGAGTCGGGAGGTACTGCAGCTGGAGGCTGCCCTGCCACGCACTCGGGTTGGCACTCAAAGTAATGCTGTCCTGTCCCCAATGAGACGGGTGGCTTCCCCATTTGCAGTTGTTTTAAATGGATTCTAAGACCAGACTGCCCTTGATTTGTTCTTTGGCCATCTTATCTGTCTCCTTTTGCTTCAGTGGGTGTTCTAAAATAACGTTCCTTTTCTTGAGTAAATTTACAGAACTTTGTTTTTTGAAGGTTTGAGCTTGATTTGTACCCTACTGCTTGCTTGGTCAGTCTTCCACAGTAGTGCCTGCTTTGGGAGTTCCTCCCGTGTTTGGTTGGTTCTAAAGCTCTCCCATCACCAGGGTTGTGCCTTGTGGGGAAGGGAGGTCTGGGGGATGTCTGCAGCTGGCAGTTTGTTACAGACTTGGCTGGTCTCAAATCTGTCTCTGTGCCCCTGGATTAGCAAGAGTAAAACTCAGTAGCCTCATTGCAGGCTTCCGCTTCATTGAGTGATCTTAATGCACAGACTTCTCTTGTTTGGAAAACTGTAATGTTCTTATTGTTCCTTTGCTTTCCAGTAGGATGGCATGCTGTTGGCTCTGTGCTCTTACGTTTTTGGGCTGCTAATAAAAATAGCCAACAGGCAAAAACTTGGTTTTAGGCAGCTGAGACTTCCCGCTGCACAGAAACTGTTCCACTTTGAGCTGCACAGAAAGCTGTCAGACATCCGTACTGACTTCGTGTGCAAACTGGAACATCAGAGCAATGACCTTTGTTATAGTTTACAGCCTTGCAAAGAAGGAATCCCCAGTAATTCCTGCAGTTCCGTACTGGTCTGTAAAAAGGGATCAGAAATCTGTTTTTTGGCTACCAGCTGTTGGTATGCTTGCCAGACAAATGAGGGAACAGCCATAGCTAGTGCCAGGAAAGTGCCAGCAGGAAGCGAGGATGAGCTTTGTGTCTGAGCCCCTGAATTCTCTTTTGGGCACTGGGTGGGGGCAGGGACGTTGTCCCTGATGGTGTCAGACCACCTCTTCAAAGCCAGGTGCTACACCTGCTGAGCAGCTTGCCTGGCTCTTACTGTAGGGTCTGGTGTGCTCCTCCTACAGGAGAGCTGTGTTTGTACAAAGGTGCTTCGGGTGTTCCTGGGCTGCATAGGCACTTCATATCCCAGCATCTGCAGTATGGTGGCAGAGTGAAGAGGTCACTAGCAGTGCTTAGTCCTTCACACCCATGTTTGGGCTGCTTATGTGTCAGACTGCTGATCGTCAGATTGCCACAGCCTGGAGAGAAGGGCTAAAATCAGTCAGGTTGGTGCACTGCTAAGACTGGTTGGGCTGGGACTTCAGCAGCCGTTCCCAGCAGAAGGGTAGCTAACCTGAAGTCAGTGGCCAGATTGTTGTTTAGAATGTCTAGTAAGAATGCTGCTTGCTTAACACTGTGATCTCATTACCTGATTAAAAAAAAAATAATCCTGTGAATCTAAGCACCTTTTAGCATTGGCAGGAGGGACTGCCATAGCAGAGAGAAGTACCAGGGGAGGACTCAGCAGTCTGCATTCCGTGCCCAGCAATGGATTTACCAGCACAGTTCTATCAGTTGATGACTATATAGGAATGGTTCTTGGTCATCTCATGTAAATTTGTTCCAAATAAAGCTAATGTATTTCTCTTTCAACTCCAGGAACATTCAAACTTACAATAGAATTCACAGAAGAATATCCAAATAAGCCACCTACTGTTAGATTTGTCTCTAAAATGTTTCATCCAAATGGTAAGTATTCACACAGTACATTTAATTTAGCTTTCTGTAGAAGTAGACTTTTATTATAAGAGTTTCCACTATCTAATAAGCACAGTTCCAGTGTGCTTCTGTGTAGGTGACTGTGTGAGCTGTGCTCAGTCTTGAGATGAGTAGAAGATGCTTCCTAGCCTGCAGGTGGTGCAGCACTGTTTTGCAAGGCTCCTCTTTCAGCTGTCTGCTGATAATGTGACAGCAGAGAGAACTTGAACTTTTCAAGTTATTTGCTGTTCTCTATACACACATGTACATAATTACACTTGTGATTGCAGTTGTCTTCTGTCATTTTTTTTCATACAACTGGGGGCCTGTATGAATGCTATACCTTGAAATGCAGTACTGGTTTCCAACTACAGCCAGTAAATCACTGAATCAGTCCCTTCCCTTGGTTCCTTTTCTCAGAGGAATACTAGCTTCATGCACACCTGCACCTTATCAGGTATAGATAGCTAAGTAAGCTGCATACACATAGCAAGTAAGCCTGCGTGGGCTCAGTGCACTGAGGGAAGGTTTTGTACAGCTGTCATGAGACTAGGCAGTGGTGCTGTAGAGATATTCTGGGGAAACCTTGTATGTAAACAGCTCTTTTTTTAGTGCTCCTTATTTGGATCACATGTGGAAAGCTGAACATTTTTGCCTTCAATCTCTCGGTGGCTTCATCTTTCCATAGCGGTGGCTGCAGTGTCACAGAGAAGCTTGGCATTGAAGAATAAGCAGGGTTTGAGCTTGAGTGCTTGAGGCAGCTGCCAGTGACAAGCTTCATCTACTACATGCAGGCCTGTCTGTTGGAGTTCAGTCTGCCACACAGTTCTGGCTTCTGTCCTGTTTGTCAGTGTATGGGTTTTCAGGATCAGACAATGCTAGGAAAAACTGAGCAGCTGTACAATTTGTTTTAAGCCATTCTTCTTGAACCTTTTCTAGTCTATGCAGATGGTAGTATATGTCTGGATATTCTTCAGAATCGTTGGAGTCCTACTTACGATGTCTCTTCCATCTTAACATCCATACAGGTAAAAAAGATCCCTGCATGAAAAGGCAGAATGAAATTAGGATGCTTTCTTTTTTTTTTTTTTTAAAGAAAAAGAAAACAACTCAGGAAAAGCACTGTTGGCTCCTCAGAGCCAGTAAAGGAGCTAAATGTTGGTATATTTTTAAGTGTGAATGCTTACTGTGTGTAAATTAACCAGCCTTAGAGCTGCACAGAGGTTGCTGGAGCTGCCAGCTCTGGATGGCACGGCTGAAAGCTTGCAGTAACTTACAGCTGGGGCAACGCAGGGCGCCCTGCCCTCATCTGGATGAACTTCTGCCCCCTTGCTAACACGGGTAGTTTAGAGAATACGTTGCAGGAACGGTGTCCGTCCACGTGTCTGAGCATCTTTTTTCTTTTTGTGCAGTCTCTGTTGGATGAGCCAAATCCCAACAGTCCAGCAAACAGCCAGGCAGCTCAACTATACCAAGAGAACAAGCGGGAATATGAAAAACGGGTTTCTGCAATAGTAGAACAGAGTTGGCGTGATTGTTGACCCAGGATGATGCAAATGAACACTCTGGTGATGAGGAAAGTATATGAAGTGTCTGAGTCATCTTCATCCTAGCATCACTGCATTTACTTTGAAAGCAGAATAGCTGTTGTGCCGTTGCCACCCTCCCTTGCTGAAGCTTCTTCTCCTTGGACATAATAAAGCACCCACTTTGAAGTCAAATGTACTGTACTTGGGTTACTTGCAAAAGAATTACTGACGCTGAATTCATTTTCTGTGGTCCCTCTCCAGTCTTAGGGCAGTATTGTGCATTTCTGTAGTGTACACTAAGCTTTTAATTGTAATTGTGTTATACACAGTGATGCTTATGTGTAGCTTGACAAAAGGGATGTTTATATACATACACATTTTTTAACTGATATTACTAAAGTGCTGATCTGTCCAGGCTGGTCGTTTACTATTGGTTTAGACCCCACTGCATTTGTAAGTACTGAGTGAAGATGTTTTTTTCTTCATTTGCATTGGTTTCCCAGCTCTTAACTAGTTTGTAAGAACGCCAGTCACTTCTGCACTTCACAGGGGAGATTTATGTACAGATATACATAAATCGCTTCAGGTGTGGTACTTTGATCTTTACTTGGGGTGAGAATTAAACCTCTTTGTTTTTTTTTTTTAAAGTAGTGTGTTAAGGGACATGCCCATGGAGACTGCTCCACTGACGTCCTGTAGTCCTGTTACTGAGGTGTTACTGGACAACAGCAGATAGAGCTGCGGTACTCTTGAGTTACAGCCCTTCCGTATTAAGGAAGGGGTAAAACCTGAAGCGTTCCAGAGGTGGAATTATTCTCCTTTTAGTGTCTTCTTCCCTCCCCTTATCTTCACCTGAGAAAGATAAGTTATTGGGCATCCAGCTTTGCCTCGAGGAAAGTTTGAATAAAGTATGGGGTAGGCACTTCAGTCTCTGCAGTTCCCAATCTTTGTAGTTTACTGTGGTTTATGTGAGCTACTGCTGCATGCTTGAGTTAGTTCCTCTTCAATTTTATCAAAGTATTTTTTCAACTCTGAGAAAACAGTTGTTAAGTCCAGACTCACTTTTTTGTACGGCTAAGTTTGTACATTTGGATACAGTTCCTAAAGCAGCAGTGTGGGATGAAACCTACAATTGTGTTGTCCAATGTTCCAGTGTCTTTTGTGTGCACATTGGTCTGTTAGTTAAGTATAACTTTGCACAAGTAACCCATGTAAGAAACTGTACATTTTTCAAAACTTGTAAATAAAGTGTAACCTTAATGCTTATTGTATAAATAGGCAAGAGGTGTGTAGCTGTGGTTATTCTGAGGCAGCAGGAGGCATCTCAGGCTGCGTGCAAACATCTACCACCAAAGCTGGGGTGTGCTTCCAAATGTTTGGGGCAGGAGCTGTGCTTGGGCTGAGCTGTGTGTTCACAGTGCAGAGGTACAACAGGAGCCCGTCAGATGGAGGAAGAACAGGCCTGGATCAGCTCACAAGGAGATGGAAAAACAGGTACCTGCAGGAAACTCAGGACAGCACTCCTAGGAGTAAGCTGTTGCAAAAAAGCCTGCGATAGTGTGTTAGTAACAGTAGCTGACAAGGCTCAGTAACTAACTGACATGAGAGTCATACTTTTGAAGAGAGAACGTGATGAAAACGACTGGCATCTAACAAAAGCAGGTTCTGCTCCTTGGCTGCACAGTTAAGACAGTCTGATAGGTTCTTAAAGAAAAAAAAGGCATTAGCCCATCCATGTGACAATGCAGGCAGGCCTTCTGCCTTACGCAGGGCAGCCTTTCACCACTGCAGCTGTGCTTAGTCACACTTGCTAGCTTTCCTAAAGGGCTGTCTGAGCTGAACCCTTGCAATTGCTACTTAGCAATGTCAAAAAGCCAACTGCAAGAGGTAGATAGGGGTCGTTTCATTTCATGCACAGGGCTAGAGCTGACAGGCCCTTTGGAGTGTATGGGCAGAGTATATCTGGCTCAAGTAATCTTGATTCTTAAGCATCTGTTGTGCAAAACTTGCCCAAATCAAGAGATAGTTGAGCAACAACCATCGAGTTACGCAGAGCAAACACCCAACAAACTTCCCAACGCCTGGGAAGACTGAAGCCAACCAGATGGTACATGAGGGACCGTGGCCATTTCCCTGTGCCTGTGTAACTATTTCTGCCTTTACAGCAGACACCTTTCTGAACGGCTCATGTTCATCTCATATCATAGCATCACCTGCCCCACTCCCTCCATTTTTGTATCTCTTGCTACTCAAAAACAAAGGCTGGCATCAGCCCTAAGGCAGCCAGAAATGAAAAAATCTCGCCTTCACCGCTTTCCTATGCAAGTCCTTCATCCACAAAATTTCAAACCATACAGAGCTGGTTCCAGGGAGCTTACAAGCCACATAAACACAGGCGATGAAGCAGAGAGCGATTCTTCAGCTCTAATGGTCACCAAAAATACTCCCACTAATTCAACCAGGAAGCAACAGAGGTACCCAACCTGGTACAGATTTACAGCCACGAGGCAGGGATGCTACCCAGCACAGCAAACAGCATCGCCTGGTACAGACTCACTGCTGCTAACTACTGCTGTGGTGGTGCCACATCCTGCACCCCGTCCCGTGCTGTTCAGCAGAAAGATTTCTCAGCCCAACACTGCCCTGGGGCTCTTGCCACTTTTCCCAGTGGCACCAAGCTCGAAGGACCTGCTGCAGAACCCAGCTAGGAGGGGGAGCTGCACTCCTGCCTGCAGGAATACTCGGAAGTAGCAGGCTTCTTCCAGACTCCTACACCTCCATCTGCTTTAACCCACCATCCCTGGGAGCAGAATTCACAAGCAGAATGCACAGTGCACGAATAAAGAAAAACCCTTTCAGAGTTTTCTGCCACTGTCCTTCAAAGGCAGCAGCAGCAACATGTTTTTATTTCAGGTGCCCGAGCTGAAGCCACCCAGTTAAAGACAGGAAGAGACGCTCTCTGTCCCGAGCGAGTCTTACCTGTAAGTGAAGTCCTCCAGGAGAACCTCCTCCTTTCTTTGGCTGAAAGTTTCTCCAAATGCACATCTCTAGGATCTTCTGCTCCATCAGCGAGGCTCAGTCACCCAGTATTAAAAAAGAACAGTGTAAGAAATGAAAACACAACATAAAGAAATGAAGAGATAATATGGGAAGCAGATGAACAAAAGCAATAGCTGAGGCATATTTCCTGTTCTCCTCCAACTTCCACTCTGAGTGCTCTCACCAGCTGTCCTCGCACAGAGAATCAGCCCCACGGGTGACAGAAGAACAGCATCTCTGGACAGATCTCCCACTCAGCTCTTCCAAGGTCTCTGCCTGACCTCCCTGCTTTCCAGGCACGATGTGGGCGCTCCCCCAAGGCTCGCACAGCTCCATTTCATGGCCCTGCTGGAGGCGCGGCCCACGCAGCAGCACAGCCTGCTTGCCAGGCAGGAGCAGCAGAGCAGCACTCCTGACTCCAGGAGCACTTCAACAAGATGCCACACTTGACAGCACTTCAGAGCAATGCAACCATTTGCTTGCGAGTTGCCCTTGACATAGCACAAGCAGAGGTACATTCACAGAGCAGAGAAATAATTAGGCACAGATTTAATTTTGCTTGGGTTAAAGAGTGTATATTCAAAGTAAAAAAATAAGTTATGTAACATTCCCCACAAGCTACACTAGCATCTCTGACACGTGGGCTCCGTGGTTACCTCCAGTTTTTGTATCTCACACTTCTCTCTGGTATTTACATACGTCAGGCAGTGCTCCAAGGTTAACATCCACTGGAATCATCTCAGTCCTGTACACTGGTGAGTAAGGTGCATTCAGTGACTGTCAGTATGGGGGGTCAAGGTAAAAGCCTACGAATAAAGCCCTACTGTTACAGTGGGTAAGGACATTTCTCCACATCCGTACACAGCACAGACATCTTGCTCCATACACCTTTCTTAAGAATAAATGCAGTTTTCACACGTTTCTTTTTACACAAAAGCTGACAAACTTGTTTGTTGGTTTTTTTTTCCAGAAATAAAGCTGTATTTTTATTTATTGTCATCAATACCAACTTTACATACAGATTTATTCCTCCAAACTGCATTTCCTTTGCTTTTTATCCTTTTTGTTTTTAAAACAAGGCATTTTTTCCTTTCTTGGTCAAAAAGGTTATGAAGAGTAAGGGAAGTATAATTTCAAATGGTGTCCAATTCTTTCTGGTTGGACATGTGTTTTTGCTATTACAAAACTATTAAAATGTGAAGGAACAAGTAATATCAAAGACATACAGTAACAGCACTACTGATGGCTGTTGGGTTGTGCTAATGTGCTCAAATAGAACTTGGCCAGTCCTAATTGTCTAGCAACGTTTTAGAAATCATATGAGCAAAGTAATAGATTTTAACGTTAACGTATCACGCAACAAGAAATGCAGCATCTTTTTCTTCAACCAGGTATCTAGAAATGTCTTTTGTAATTTTCACCAGTGAAATCGGGCAGTGAACCTCAATTTGCTTGAGGCATGATAAGCTCATAATGCCCAACGTGGCCTTCTTGCTTCAGCTGGTCCAACAGATCCTCCTTGCGCCGCTTTCTGCTTACCACCAAGTACCTGTCATGGCCCTGGCCATGAGATTTACTTTTGAGACCATATTTTTGGGCGATCTGATGTATCTGCTTCCGTTCATCGTTGGTCAGTTCAGTAGAGAACGTCAAGTCGACGTGGCTGTCTGAGTGGGCATAGTTGCGAATGATCTGCTCAATGTCTCTTTTAGCAATTTTATTTACCCTCTCCACATCCAGCCCCAGTCCTTCCCTTTTAAACTGCTCCTTCACTGAAATAGGTTCTCTAATTCCCTCGCCATCCTTCCCGAGGCCACCACCCTTCCAGCCCATCTTTCTTAAGATTTGATTCCCAATGTTATCTTCTTTGATTTTCTGTTTCAAAGCATCTTCTGCCGATCGCCCCCGGATCTCATTTCTGGAGATGACGTCTTCAATGGTGCCTTTTTTCAGATTGTTAACAACAGTTGGCTGAGTCTTTTTGAGGATTTTCACAGCTTCCTCTGCTGCCTCATGCTTGACAGATTTCTTCACTCCGACTGCTTCTGCGATGAACTCATTTTCGAGCAGCACCTTGCACTTCCATCGCATGCCCGTCATCCTTTCGAAGACGTACTCGACCGTCATCTTGTTGAACTGAGCCGTGTCGTTCAGCGTGCACACCGGGTTGTCGGAGTTCTCATAAACCACGAGGTCCTTCAGGTCCTTCTTCCTCCCAGAGCCTTGCGATGAGCGGCCCACCTTCTGGACCTGGGTCATTTTGATGGCTGTTAGATTCGACTGCGTCTTCTGCAAAATCTTCAGCGCCTCGTCAGCTGCAGCATGCTTGCTGGTCTTCTTAGTGCCATATCCCTCAGCTAAGCAGTGATCTTGTAGAAACACTCGGCAACGCCACATGCGGTTGGGCATGTAGTCATATTTATATTCAACACACATTTTGTTGTACGAGGCAGAATTGTTAAGTATTCCTATTGCGTCGCTGGCATTCTCAGTGAGGACAAAGCTAGTCCAGTGCTTGCTGGTGTTAGGGGAAGCTTTGGCGGGTTCAGCGCCGGGCTGTGCTGGGACGCAGTCCCTGTTGGCTACCACAAACTCCTCGTGAGGTTTGAGAGCAGGAGGGAAATCTGGGCTACTCACACCTGCCTGGCACACCACCAGGTCTTCGTGATAGGTGTGCCTGAACTTCCGCTGCACAACCCGAACTTCTACAGACTTCTGCAGCAACTTGACTGCCAGTTCTGTGGCTCGATCCCTGGATCCATTTTTGCTGCCGGCGTAACCAGTGGTCAAGTAGACATTCTGACATCGTACTTCACAAGCAAAGCCATCTGTCAGGAGCTTCTTACTCTTTGGGAGGTCGGCGGGGGCAATTTCTTTCAGAGGAACATAAATATATTCAGGATTTGTCTTGCATGCCTGAATTGAACGTGTCAAGAGGTACGTATAGTTAATTTTATCGGTCCCAATGTTTGTGTCTGGGTTAGCAAGATTTTTCCAAACAGCTGCTGACAGTTTCTCAATAAAACTCTGCTTCAGCACTATAGCAGATGGAGGGAAAGTCTCTGATACAGACTGGACAGCTGAGGGAGGAACAGAAACCTGCAACGTGCCACTGGTGGCAACGTCCGTACTGTTCACAGCCTTATTGGGAGTCGCTGCCTGGCTCGCAAAGCCAAACCCCGCTGAGTTGGAGATGTGGGGATCCACTCGCTGGGCATTCTCAAAATGAGAATCTATACAGTT